CTATAGGACTAGCCGTTATCGGTTATCTCGCGAGGATAGTACTTAGTCGATAGTAGTAACCGTAGATTAGCTAGATTAACTATTATCTACTATAATACGTATTCGAAGACCTCTCGTAGAGTCTCGCTCTTATTCTATAGCTTTATCTTCTTCTTTAGCTAATATATTATCGTTATTATCTACTCCGGAAGGCTGCGTTTGCTACGTTTACTACGTCTTAGCTAGTAACTCGTCGTCCGTTAGTTCTTTATTTAACTTAGTAGTCGGCTCTCGGCGTAGCCTCTTAGTAGCTCGATTAACATTAGCGGCTAGTTGTTATATAGTAAGGGCTTCCTTCTTCTTCGAAGAAGGCTTCTACGCTCGCTTAGAAGCTCTTAGTATAGCGACGGCTCGTTAATAGCTTCCGAATTAGCCTCGTTCTTAACCTAGATCGTTACTAGAGGACCTAAGTAGATAGAGGTAAGAAAGGCTTTCGTTCCGTACCTAGATTGCTACTAATTTTATATAGTGCGAGTAGGTCTACGGAAAAACCGAGGGTACGTAGAAGTTCCGAGGTCTCTATAGTATAGCGTATCATTCTATATAATGTTAGAATAACCCGAAAACAAGTGCTAGGACTAACCGAATCGGGCGAAACGAGAACGAGGAGAACGCGGGGAAATCACGTGCGGGAACTTCAAAATTCGCGGCTACTCCCGGGCCTCGCGGCCGCCTCGCGAACGGGTATAGATCGTCTTCCTTACGGGGAAATCACGTGCGGGAACTTCAAAATTCGCGGCTACTCCCGGGCCTCGCGGCCGCCTCGCGAACGGGTATAGATCGTCTTCCTTACGTAAGCGCAATGTGTTTATATAGCTCGAAGAGCTATAAGCAAAGGCCGAAGAGCTATAAGTAAAGGCTAAGGCGACGAGCCTAATCTAAAACGCCTAAAGTAATTTTAATCTAAAATACTTACAGGAATTCTAATTTAGAATACTTATAATACTAAGTACTATTTAGAACGCGTATAGTAACTCTAATCGGGAGCGCTAATAGTTAGTACTACTATCTATAACGCTTATACTAAGTTTTATTTAGAATACGCTATATAGTAATTCTAATCCGAAACGTATATACTAAGTCCTATCCGGAACGCGTATAGTAAGTACTATCCGGAACGCGTATAGTAAGTACTATCCGGAACGCGTATAGAAAGTCTAATTCGGAACGCTAATAGTAAGTACTATTAAGAACGCTTATAGTAAGTAGTACTATCTAAAATACCTATAGTAAGCACTATTCAGAATACTTATAGCAAGTTATATCCGAAACGGTTATAGTAAATACTACTAAAAACGTTTATAGCAAGTACCCTATATAACGCCTACTACGAGTACCCTATAAAATGCCTATAGCGAGTACTCTATAGAATATCTATAGCGAGTAGTACTATCCGGAACGCGTAGGATAAGCCTTATTTTAAACGCTTAGTATAGTTAGTTTTATATAGACCGGAACGTTTCGAACTGTTTATAGTAAGTACCTTATATAACGCCTACTACGAGTACCTTATAAAACGCCTATAGTAAGCACTCTATAGAATATCTATAGCGAGTAGTACTATCCGGAACGCGTAGGATAAGCCTTATTTTAAACGCTTAGTATAGTTAGTCCTATATAAACCGGAACGTATATAGCAAGTCTAATCCGAAACGCTTATAGAAAGTCTTATCCGGAATATAAAAAGTAAGTCTAAGTCTAATTCGAAACGAAATGCTTTTATTAAGTACTATCCGGAAGGCCTATAGCGACGTAACGCTTATAGCAAATACTATCTAAAACGCCTATAGTTAAACTATCCTAAATAGCATTCGAACTGTTTATAGCGAGTACCCTATATAACGCCTACTACGAGTACTCTATAAAACGCATATAGCGAGTCCTCTATAGTATACCTATAGCGAGCAGTACTATCCGGAACGCGTAGGATAAGCCTTATTTTAAACGCTTAGTATAGTTAGTCCTATATAAACCGGAACGCGTATACTAAGTCTAATCCAAAACGCTTATAGAAAATCTTATCCGGAATATATAAAGTAAGTCTAAGTCTAATCTAAAACTAAATACTTATATTAACTACTACGAACTATTTATAGCGAGTACCCTGTATAGCGCCTACTACGAGTACCCTATAAACGCCTATAGCGACTA